CTTCCAACACCGGCCCACCTTCGGACGGCCTCTCCGACCGGAAGGCCTGGCCAAACACCACTTCTGACTCTGACCCGCGTCTTCGACTGGGGATGCGCCAAACCCCTGCTCACTGCTCTTCTTCAACTAGCACAATCAGAGCCGACTAGGACCAACCGACCGGGGACGACCGCTCGGTAAGGACCAGGAAACGGACAGAAAAAGTAAAGCAGGGCACCCAAGTTAACCGCAATACCAAAGAACGTACCCTGTACACCTGCAGGACAGTACCCTATGACCTCCCTGGCATAACAGAACCCAAGAAGTGTTGTAGGCGCCGACATTTTCCCTATAGTGTTGTGGGCGCCATCAACTCCCATACCAGACAAACACGGTAAGGCTCCCCCCACATGCCTCTAGGCATCAACAGTGTTGTGGGCGCCATCATTTACCGTATGAGGCGAACATGGTAAAACCCCCGCATGCCCTCGGCATCAACAGTATGGCAAGCACCGATGTCTGCCATACCAGAAGAAGACGACGCAACCTCCCACGTGCATCTGATATTAAACAGTATTGTGGGCACCTACCATCATTCTTATACCCACCGGCATGGGCAACAAGACTTAGTAGCATACGTACTCTCTCCCTCTCACTTGTAAGGTCATCCCCTTCATCTATAAAAGGATGTGCTCCCTCCCAACAAGAGGATCGATGAGTTCACCAGTACACAACAACAGAACCACCAGGTTCAAACCACAAGCTCACGCTCGAACACTTAGCACGTAGCGGGGCTCGTCACTCTCGGCCCTTCAGACCAGAGTCCGACTGGATCTCTTGTACCCCCTATCTTTCTCCCTTCCGTTTGTAACCCCACACCAAACTTCGAGCACCTGGGCTCAGGAATAAAGTCACCGATCGACTCAAACTGGACGTAGGGCACGTTGCCTAAACCAGTATAAACCCTGTGTCATTGAGTGCTAGGCCACCTCCGATCACAATATACAGCAAAACTACAAATATTTACGTGTTGGTCACTTTCTGCACCAACAAATGCTGAGCGACCGATCCCAACGGTCAAGTGATGACCAAACGCAGCACAGTGCCACGACCGGACATAGGGCCCCAGCGTCCGGTCACTTCTAGTAAGGTTCCAACTACGACCGGACACGTCAGTTTAATCATGATCGGACGCAGGACCCCAGCGTCCGGTCATTTCTAGTAAGCCTCCACTCATGACCGGACGCGTCTGGTCATGCCCAACTAGATTCACCAAGCATCCGGTCACTCACTGTCTCCTCTGTGCGCTGCCACGTCTGTAGGATCGGACGCACTCGCCAGCGTCTGGTCACGAAGTGACCCAGCGTCCGGTCAAAGACCGACGCCAGCATCTTCACTGCTTCCACTGACCGAACGCACCGGTCTAGTTGAGGCCAGCGTCCGATGCACTCTGTGAAACCCTGTCTTTTCTGTATAGTGCGCTGGTGGCACCATCGGACTGTCCGCACTCTACTGGCGGACACTCCGCCGGTGAAATTTCTAAACACAATGTGTATCACCTTTGTGTATGTGTGTTAGCATATTTTTCACAAACATTTTCAAGGGTGTTAGCACTCCACTAGATCCTAAATGCATATGTAATGAGTTAGAGCATCTAGTGGCACTTTAATAACCGTATTTCGATACGAGTTTCACCCCTCTTAATAGTACGGCTATCGAACCTAAATATGATCACACTCACTAAGTGTCTTGATCACCGAAACAAAATGGCTCCTACCACTTATACCTATGCCTTGAGCCTTTTGTTTTTCTTTCTTCTTTTCCAAGTCCAAGCACTTGATCATCATCATGGAATTGCCATCATCATGTCATGATCTTCATTTGCTTCACCACTTGGAATGTGCTACCTATCTCATGATCACTTTGATAAACTAGGTTAGCACTTAGGGTTTTATCAATTCACCAAAACCAAACTAGAGCTTTCGGCATCGCCGAGGAGCCACTACCGACAACCCATAACGCAGAGGGCTGGCGCTCGTGCATGTGTAGGAGTGAGATCGAGAACAGGACTGTTTCTGGTAACGCAAGTGAGAACGTGGCTGGTCAGCGAGTTTACGGAGAAGATATTGCATTATGGAGCATCTTAAACACGGAGATATTAAACATGAAGGCACTTAATTATGGAGAATAATAGGAGAAATAATAATTGGAGAAGCAGGGCGAGGAGAAAGTTGTATTAAATATGAAGGGTACTTATCCTTAGACGAAACGTTTGGTTGGCGTTGATGAAATTGCCCGGCCCTCGAGCTTTTTGGCATGTCGTTATGCCGGCATTCTTCGCGGCCATCATCATTGCGACGCGGCAGGTGGCCGGAGTAGGTAGTCCGGGCGGCCTGCTTAGTAGCTCGGACGGCTCGTTTAGCGGCTTGCTCTGTGGCTCGGGCAGCTTGATGCAGTCAAACGAGTACGTGGAGTCATCTTCGAACGGGTGTAGTGGGAGCCGGACGGAGTCGATCCACGTGGAGAGGTGAAGTTCTTGGACATAGTCGGGCTTATGCACCAAGATGAGAACATGAGTGCGGCAAAATTGTTCGTGAGAACATCGAGCATAGATGCATGTATACATGGAAGTATATGTGGCTTGCATGATGATCTAGCTTGCTTGTTTGTCATTGGCTTGCATGTAGATCGGCTCTTTCAATAGATTGCTTGCTTGCATCATCAAGCATGCATGAAGCTGTAGATGGCATGGCATGTCTCAGACGCAGCCTTCTTGTCGTGGTACTGCATGTGCTCGCGCACCACCGCCGTTGTCGGGTCCTCCTCCATATAATCTGGTGTAGCGCTGAGCATGTCGATCGGCGCTGAGTAGCGATCCGTCGACGCGATTGCGGAGGTACTGATGTCACTTGAAGGTGTACTTTTCGCCGAGTTGTTGACCGCACGTCACGGAAGAAATTGCCGAGTAGATTGATCTTGATGTTGACTCGATCGTAGGTGGAGATCTCGAGCACGATCCGGCATGCAAACGTGGTGGAGCTTATGAACGACGTCTCGAGATCGGATCAAGCGGCGAGCTTGCCGTGTTGCTGCACCTCCCCAGCGGTAGCCCGTACTAGTTGGACGCACGGGACCCTACCTAGCGCGCCAACTGTCGACAAAAGATGCTCGGCAGTCCTCCGAGGGATATCCCACGAAGGTAGATTGATCGGTGGAGGTGCGTGTAATCAAGAACAAGATGGTAATAGAGACACAACACACAAGATTTATACTGGTTCATGCCGTCAGCTTGACGTAACACCCTACATCCTGTGCTATGTTATTTTGTATTGATTGTGTATCAGATTTGATATATCGTCTAGGGGACTCCTGCCTCTCCTTATATACTCTGGAGGGGTAGGGTTACAAGGAAAATATCATATTTGGTATTATACAATAAATTATATCTTCATGTAGTCTTGCGGTGCACGCATTGATCATGTGGGCTGAGCCACCTTTGGGGCGCGGCCCATGTCTTGTCTTGTGGGTATTGGGGCCATACTTCCACAGCTGGGAACGACGGCGGTGGAGGCCGCGGCGACCCGGTACGACGACGGTGTAAAGGAAGTTTTTTTTTATCCTGGGATCTGTTCACATATGCCGTGGATCGACATGAACTCACCAGATTGGGCGGTGTGGATGGGGATGAACATCAGCATCTTGTCAGGTCCACCCGACGGCGCTGCTCCGGGGCCGTGCCATGGGGTTGCGCCGCCGAGCCCCTTAAGTAGCGGCGGAGCTACTGCGAGGCGATGCGGCCGCGCGGCGTGGCCTCCGGAGGTCGCAAGTGGACTCGCGGCGGGTGGAGGTTGCAGGTGGCGGAGGGCCAGCAACGGATTTGTCGATTGAGGCAGGTAAGGGTGTAATGAGCTGTGGGGGGCCGGTGGGGCTGCAGCGCTGGCGTGGCGTGGCCTGCGTGTGGGAGGCAAGCGTGGTGGGGATCGGACAGCAGCAGGCAGCATCGGACGGCCAGTAGTGGGTCACTGTGGATGACCAGTGATCTGTGAGGAGGAAACGGGACTTCACTGTTGAACTACAGGAGCCATTACCTAGATGAGACACTCATGCATGGATACGTGTAAAATGCTTAACTTTTCTATTTCTGCTTGCTCAAGAGATTTTTTTTTATGTATCTCTTCTCTGTGTCATCTCATATTATCTTAGAGCTGGTCATCCAAGGTGCTCTTGGAGCATCTCCAATAGTCTGAATAATAAAAAGAAAAGTCTAGGGTGGAGCTAAAAGACAGTCTCAAATATTTCAGATGCCCTCTCTCACTGGCTTATAGCTGGTGCTATATTATATTATATATATTTTTAGGTATAATTATAATTATATTTTTTTGGAGATATTATATTATATTTTTTGAGAGAATTATATTATACTATATATAGTTGGAGATGCCTTTAGTCGAAATGATACGGCCCAATCGATAGGTGGGCAGTGGTCTGGATGTGTCCTTGGTGGGTTTGGTCACGTGAGAAAGTGGGAAACAGGCCCAACCTTGCAGGCTTCCTGATTGGAGCAGTCATAGGCCTATTGTAGGCTCGAATTTATGAATACGTCCTGGACTCCTAGTCAGTCTCTAGCCTGCCGACCCCGGGCAGGCAGAACTTCTCACTGGATCGATTTCCTGGCTTGAACGATGACAACTTCTCACTCCACCGCGGTTCGGCCCACCATACGAGGCCCACGCGTGCATGCGCATGGCCGCCACATTCATAGCTGTCTGTCAAGCTGTAGACGACCGGCACGCGACGCGAGCACGGCGCGGCCCTACCCCCGAGAGGCTGCGTTCTCCCTCTCCTCATCCGCCGCGCAGGCGCAGCGCACCCGGACCCCGGTCCTCCCTTGTCGCTGAATCGCTGATGGCGACCGCACATCTTAAAAGCCCTGACAAAGTCGCAAGTCCTCACCCACTCATCACACTCGCTTCATTATTACGCCGCGCACGCTCGCAGTCGCAGCGGGGTTTCGAATTTCGATGGGGCAGGTGCCTCCTCCCGCAGGTGGTTCCACCGAGGAGGACGTGGTCGTGGCGGCGGATGCCATTGCCACGCCAGCGCCGGACGCCGGAGATCCGGAGCTAGTACAGCAGAGGAAGGGTAATAGGAAGAAGAAGAAGAAGAGGAAGAGGCCGAGGGTGCCGACGGAGCAGGAGGTAGCCGCGCGGAGGTCCGTGCTCAGCTGGGCCTGCCCTGGTCGCGAAGCGGTGGGCGACCATGAGGCGGCCGATGCTGGCAGGCGGCGGCCGCGCGTGGCGGTGGAGCTGCACGCGCACTCGGCGCGCAGCGACGGCTCGCTCTCGCCTGCCGACCTCGTGGAGCGCGCACACCGGAACGGGGTAAGCTTTCGGCTTTCGCAACAGACTGCATCAGTAAAGTCTGCATAGTTCAGGCATTGTTCCTTTGCATACTCGCATAAACGCGCGTATGACTCCTAGTCTGCTGTCAGTGGCTCAGTGCGCATGCTGCTTTGTGAGGTGTCAACTGTGTAGTTCACTGGTCGTGTGAGATCTGCATTGCAGATTCTTCAGCTTTACACGCTAATGCACGTGTGAACTGCCTTTTGATCAGCACAGGTGAAAGTGCTTGCGCTGACTGATCACGACACTATGGCCGGCGTCCCAGAAGCCGTGGAAGCGGCAAAGCAATATCCAATCAGGATTATCCCTGGCGTCGAGATCAGCGCCGTGCATTCGCCTAGGTAACACTCCTCTCACGATCGTATAATCGCAAAACATGGCCCCGGCATGCTTTTGTTATACACTACAAAGTGTGCTTAATTCTTAGTAGTGACGAAACGGGAGCTGAGGAACCTGTGCACATACTTGCATACTATGGTGCCTGGGGGCCTGCTAAACCTCAAGAGTTAGAAAGGTTTCTGGCCAGTATCAGGGATGGCCGGTATGCGCGCGCCAACCAGATGTTACTGAAACTTAAGGACCTTGGCATGCCAATGAAGCTGGAAGATGTCTGCAAGATAGCAGGGAATGGAGTCGCTCCAGGGCGACTACATGTGGCCCGGGCCATGGTTTATGCTGGATATGTGGAGAATCTAAGGCAGGCCTTTAGCAGGTATTTGTACGATGGAGGACCAGCTTATGCCACGTAAGTCGCAGTATGCTTAATTGCTTATGATTCGTCCCCTATCAGGTGTGCGGAATCATTTTACAGTGTTGAACTTGTTTTGTTCATTTGTAGAGGTAGTGAGCCCAATGGAAAATCTGTGGTGCAACTAGTTTGTCGATCAGGGGGTGTAGCAGTTTTAGCTCATCCATGGGCACTGAAAAACACTGCTGCTGTGGTAAAGGATTTGAAAGCTGCTGGTTTGCATGGTATTGAGGTTTATCGGAGCGATGGGAAAGTATCTGGTATGAACAAGATGGCCATGTTCATGTTATAGCACTTCAAGTATTCGTTGTGTCTTTTATATCTGTGTGCTATATCTGAACTTTTCAGTGAGTAACAGGTGAATGTTTCTTGAACAGGATTGAGTGATCTAGCAGATACTTACAATCTTCTGAAGCTTGGTGGATCAGACTTCCATGGACGAGATGACAAGGAAGAACCTGATGTGGGAAGTGTTGATCTTCCGGTCTTGGCCGTTTTAAATTTTCTTGAGGTAGCTAAGCCAGTCTGGCATAATGCAATCAGGGAAATGTTCTCAAGCACTCGTATCTCTAAAAGGACTACTGATATGAATGGATCCAAACGACTTCGAAGGGTTAGTTCCGCTGGCGATTTATGCATTCTGTGCCTTTCTTCTGAAGACGAGGAGCTAACAGATGCTCCGGAGGTTGAGGTCCTACGAGCAGAAGTTGCGGACATTGTCCTCACTCATCAGTCCATTTTTTAATTTATCCCAAAAGGGATTGTAGTTTTACTGTCTTCTGACTTCATCATATGCTCGTCATGAGAACTTTAACTGCACTTTTTTTTTTGTCAATGTGGTAGCCAGTCGAGGGCCTAGCTAGGCTAAAGATGATCATGATGCCAGAAAAAGGAACAATAGGGGCATATCGATAGTTGATTCAGACCATGGTAGCATATGCAAACTTACTGATGCCAGAGCTTCTAAAGAACCAGGAGAATGGTGTGTGGACCGGTGAAAATTTTCTGTGTTAAATCAAAAAAAAAACATGTGTATGGTCAACCTGTCCAGTGAAAGTTTCATATATCTGGAAAGAGGTAGTATTGGATAGTGCTATTTTTTCACTTCTCCTGCATTCCAGAGGTAGTGTCAGATTATAGTAAAAATTGCTCATTGCAGAGATCCATGTCTTCAGACTTTCAGAGGAAGGGAATAGAGAGCCCTGTGGTTGGAGCCTGGGGAACTGGAGTTGTTTCAGGGCGGGGAGTGGAAAGACAAAGAAAAAACGCTTTGCGTAGCGGGCTTTGTGTTGCCCATTTAGCAGACCATCTAAAGAGTGGTTCCTTGGGCTTTGCTTGTACACATGGGCTTGTTTCCTATAAACTATGACTTTCTAGTTTGTACAGTATCTTTTTGAAAACCGATGCGTGCTGGTCAGTGTTTGTCTGCTGGAAAGGCTGGATTATTTCGGGCATCAGGCTAGTATGTATCAGTTCCCAGCTCAACAAAGAATTAGTAACAACAATTGCAAAAGGGACGCAGATTGCACAGACGGGCCTGACCGATGTATCGGATCGGACTCTGGAGTTAGCTGGAAGTCCTAGTCACGCTTTGCAGAACAATTGCTGTTTGTTCCTTTCGGTTTGGCCCGATTAATAACACTGTCTCTCAAAAATGGAAAAATGACAGGTTAGGCATCATCACATAACGATGGTTGATCAAGCTGCTATCTTTCACGAACGGACAGGTACTAGCTAAAGTGGAAACAATATCGCCCTATTCGTTTGGGCTTATTTGGCTCATAAATCGTATTGAAAAAGATTTGTTGGTTGATTTGGTATGAGAAAAATACTAAGATGTTAAACTTTCAGAAGCGATCGTAAAGAAAAACAGTGTTTTTCTCACACCAAAAACCAGCAAAGAAAGATAAATAATCACGACGATACGATAAAATTGTTAAATTGGCTGAAAAATCGACTTATAAGTCAAACAAACCCAAACGAACAGGGCAAGTCAGTTACTTTTTCGACGTTAAACCGACTCTGGGCTCTGGAATTGAAGGTGTAAAGCAACAGGGTTCAGAGTTCAGTGGTCTTGGTTTCAGGTATCACAGCAGTACCCAGTCGTAACAGTATGAATGGGAAAATAGGCAACTACTTACTACTCCATTCGTTTTAAATTGTAAGTTATTCTAGCTTTTTTTTTTTCTAAAATGTAGGTTTTGCTATATATTTTGAAAAGTCAAAGTGATTTATAATTTAGAACGGAGGAAGTGCTATATGCCACGTGTAAAGTGCGGTTGTTTCTTTCTGAAGAAGAGAAATCCTTGCAAGCAAGGAAAGTTGACTTCTTAGCGTCATTCATGGAGGCGTAATCACCTTTTGGCGTAATGAAGATTGCAAGTTCCATAGTCACCTTTGGATGAAGCTCCAAAGCTTTGAGAGTATCAGAGTACAACGCTCGCCCTTTTCATGGCCACGTTCAGATGGAGTACCGATGCAGTACTATCTGATCTGGACAGGTTTGTTGTACCCGTCCAATTGCTTGAGAAAAATATATGCCCTTTCTTGAGATTCTCAGTTGGGGAATCGCTAGCTATCACGAGTCACGACTCACAACTAGACACAAGGCAGCTCTAATTTGTTAACGTCGATGTGCAGTTACTGTTGTAAAATATACAGAAACCGTGTGCGCCCTAGCGCCTAGGTGGTTTCCAGCTGCAAAAGAAGAAAAATAAGCTTGGCAGGCACTGGCAGTTTGCGTTGTCACTAATCTGACGCCAATCTGACGTGTCTCGGATGCAAACCCTTGCTGCAAGCTGTAACCTCTCGCCTGATTGGAGAACCCGATGCATGATTGATCTGTAAGCTTCGTCATCTCGCAGCCAACTGCTCTCGCTGACTTCAGGCTCCGTAATAATTGTACACCGCGAGGTCAAGCGAGCGCCACTCCTGATCATACCGAATGGCGAGCAAGCAGGCAAGCAGCTGCTGCGGTTCTTTGGACCTGGAGTAGTAAAACAATCTGACCCTGATGAGAAGCGCACGGCGCATTCTGGTCTCCGGTCATGTGTGCCCGCAGCAAAGAGAGGCACGAGCGCACACGGTGGGCGTCGCCTCAGATGAAATCGCTTGCAGATGCAGGGCTGGACGCAGGAGGACGCCGCGGCGAGCAGGCGCACATGTGTGCACGCCGCGCGATATCTTCTCAGGATTCGGATGGTACCCGGCAGTCCGGCACTGTTCTCTTGCATGCCCCAGTGAAGCCTCGAAGAGCGGCACGCCGCCGGGCCGGTGAGGGATTCTAGTCCCTGGAAGGAAATTTGAACGAGAGGCAGACAGGAGTACATGGCCACCACCATCACCGCCACACGAACTGGGACACGCACGCGCGGGCGCGGTTGTGGTGTGCGAGCGATGGATGAGCAGCATGTTTGGGAGGCCGTATCGTATCGTGGATTATTTACTGCTGGCTGATTTGGTGTGAGAGAAAAACACTATTTCCAGCTAGAAATTTACGATCGTTTACGAGCAAACGAACAGGAAGGAGGTTGGTGGGTGGCCGTAGTGGCGTGCTCTTTATGCTACGCACTCCAGGTCCAGGACGGGCATGGCGCAGAAGCCGCGTTCCAGGACTTTCCCGGTCATGATGGATTTTTTTTTTAATTTTAACATTTTTTTAAAACTAATTTTAAATCTAGCACTGTCTGTTTTTTTTTTCAAAACTAATATTTTTAGTCGCGCCAGGCACGACAGGGGACTGACATGGCGACGACCGGAAAGGTTGACGGTTAACGTGTTGTCAACTACGGTCTTCCGCCCCTTGACCCAGCACTACTTACTGCAGCAGTAGATAGGTGCGAGTGCCTTATTTGTACGTAAACATTTTTGTAACAAATTTAAGACAATTAACGGTCGTTCTATTCTTATAACAGGTGGAGGCCTGAGACCCACACGTTCCACCAACCTTGTGACGAGATGACCTTGACCAGGCAGGACGTGAAGGCTATTTTTAGCCTTCTGTTGGGGGGATTTCCAGTGACAGGAATAGTTGACAACGATCACTGAAGGGAGCTGGTGGCTCAGTTTACTGGCTTTATTCCACCGGACGACGAGGCTTCGAAGAAAAATAAGTGAGAAATTTAAGGTTGTTTAATGCTTGCATTGCTTTTCTGCAGTCATCGGGTCTCATTTTCTTTGGTCAATTTCAGAAAAAATTCCGGTGTTTCATCGTCCTGGACCACGGAGCACTTTGATTACTTGAACTAATAGGCTGAGGAGGCTCAGATCGACAGGTTCGCTCGAGTGTGGCTTTGGCACTTTCTTGGTGCTTTCCTCTTCCTAGACGCCTCGGGCAACACCATCAGCTGGATCTTCCTTGACATACTACGCCAACCGTGGGAGAACATAGCGGCGTACAGCTGGGGCAGCGCAGTCCTGGCATGGACGTATCGACAGCTTTGCGTTGCCTGCCGTCGCACCTCGGGGTATGCGAACCTTGGGGGTTGCTCATACCTATTCTAGGTTTAGTGTTGGGAACGATGGTCCGTTGGGAGGTCCCTTAATACTAGTTTACCGGTAAGTACTTCGGTTCATTATATTCTTCGATATGGTTACATATGATGAGTTTATTAATGGCTAATTCATTATCGTGTTCAATGCAGCAATGGAACGGGCAGGATGCACTATCTACAGCTATGTATATCTGGACGGAATTAGAGTTAGTTAGAGGGAATGCGAGGCGCAAGTACAGGGAGTACACGAACGGTCTCGACGTCCTGACACAGCACCAGGTTACGCTCTCTTTACTATCATACATGTGTCTTGTTCGATGTACACTATATCACAGCCTAACTCGATTATGAAATATTCAGGTACATTGGTGTCCTTGGGATGCTTCGGAGCTCCAGTACTATCTCAGTCCAGTCACTAGGGACGAGTCAGAGGAGTATCGCTGCAACGTTCCTCTTATTTTCTTCCACGTGGTCGAGATTCACTTGCCCATCAAGGTCTGCATACAGTTTGGAAGAATGACAGGCTGCCCACCACCGCTTTACTCCACCAACCAAGGATTACATGGGTGTGTTATCGATTAATAACAAAGCTACAATTCAGATGTGTGTGTGGTACAACTAATATCGTTTTGTTGCAGGTATGACCACAGAAAGAGATACAAGACCAAGGATTGGCGCGTGACACACAACACGCACATCCACTTGTGGGAGACCAGGGAACGGCAGCCGGTCCATGCGGGTCCTCCACACGACCAACACACCTTCGACAACTACCTGTGGTGGCTTCACAGGTCTACGAGGACACATATCAAGCCCTCGTACACTGAGAAGGCGATTGACAAGGACTCGGAGGAAGATGTGATCGAAGATGTGTATGATGTTAGCACTAGAGAGGACACACGGCTACAAAGAATCCCGATACAAAGATACGTGGTAAGATACTTAATGGTACAATTTATTATCCATTTGGTATTAAGTATGTATACTAAAACAGTTTAAGCGTGTTTCTGTACCCAGGCGACACAATTGTCGAGGCTGTCCAACGAAGCAGTGTTCCGGCTTCACAAGTTTAGAAGACAGGGGCTAGGCGTTCTCGAGGCTTTTGTGGAGGTAAACATAAACTTGTCCATTCTGAAAATATTTCTTTAGTGTATATGCGTTTAGGAAATGCACTAACTTTAATGTCTATTTATGCGGAAGGTGAAGAAGACCTGCAGGAAGCTAGCTCAAAAGCTGAGCTGCATGGACACTC